TATTTTCTAGAGATAGATAGGCTTGTTAATGAATCATATTTTAATCAAAATTCAATTTTAACTCGGCCCAAATAGTCAGAAATGAATCAACAATTTTTTTTATTGCCTAAATCCGATAAATCATATTTTGTGGATACGTATCTCAATGAACCAATATGAGATTTGATGATGATTCTCTTTGAATTATATATATATATATATAATCATTGTCCGTGTCTGAAAACACTGTGTTACTTATAAAATTTTAACACACAAAGAATATTTGAATAATTTCAACACATAGCGGTTAGATTAGTTTTTAACATTTTTTGTTGGTGCAATTAGTATCTTATTTTTTTTGTATTGGTCACTTTTTTTTTTTAATTGCTGATTAACTTGGGTTTTGAATTTTTTTTTAATTTTCTAAGAACTATAGGTTTCATACAATAGTAATTTATTTTTAGTATGAATAATAACTTGATGATTTTATTTATGGATTATAAAAATAATTTAAACTTCATTGATCGATAAGAAGTAAGAAGTAAACATCAATCATCGGTACTAAAATGCGTGATAAGAAAATGTACTTATAATGTACTCTAGGTATGAATCACTTTGTAATAAGAAAGATGAAAAATTATATAGTAAGTATATAATGAACCAAAGGTTTTGAAAAAATCGATATACTAAATAACTTACATGTCCAAAAATTATGACATTATCTATTTGGGTACTGGTTTTTATGTGTGTAGTGACGGTGTATATGCAGTTATTGAGGTCAAATGTTAAACTGTCAAACTTTAAAAAAAAAGTACTAAATTTAGAGATATTATGTATTTTATGTGTGTTTAATAAAAATATTTTTAATTTTATGCAAAGTTTTAAAGTAAAATTAGAAATTAAACAAAACCAACTTAAATCAAGATACAAACAATACACTTTTAACATATAACATTTAACAATTAGTTAATAACAATACATCCACAACTAAATCACACGAACATTAAAAATTAAAAACAATTATTGTCAAAACATACACCACTAAACCAAACCAAAAAAAATCATCAACGATAAACAGTAATGGGTACCAATGAGAGTACTTCCGGAGGTTAGATCACCGCCAATACAATTTGGATGGAAGAGAGTGGATGGTCAGAGTGGATAAGTCCAGTGGCTCTCCAGATTACGTCGTGCGTCGCTGAAAAAGGTCTATCCATTGTTGGAGTCTACATAGAGAGATGAGAGATTGAGGAGGATGACAATGATTTCTGAAAAACTAAGAGATGTGAGACGGTTAATGGGAAAAAAGAGAAAGAGTTTAAGATATGTGTTAGACAAAATGGGTAGCATGTAGGTGTAGTTAAATTGAGTGGGATTCAGGAGCGAAGCCACCCTTGGACCAAGGTGGGCACGTGCCCCCCTCAATTTTGTTTTTGACATTAGATATATATTTTTTAAAAATAAAATTTAGATATATTTAATTGTATCCACTCTCAATTTTTTTTACAATAAATATATATTTTTTAAAATAAAATTTAGACATATTTAATTGTGTCTACCTTATTATTGTATTATTGTGATATCAATTAAGATATACGACTACTTAAATAATAATTAATTTTTAAATAATGTTATTGAAACTAATACATTATGATATTAAATCTAATAGTGAGTTCCTACATTTAATAACGTAAAATGATAATAATTAGTCTCATACGAAGTTTTAATTAATTTATTTTTATTTTTTGTTTGTTCATTCCATGCAAATTTTTTTTTAATTTTTTATGTTTAATAAATTTTTACGCATAATTATAGTAAATATAAATTTATGAACTTCTATGGTCAATTGAAAAAAAACTGAAAAAATACTATTTAGATCTAATTTGATGATATAATTCAATGAACCTTTTTGATTGAAAGGAGACTTCATCTAACATTGAAATTTACAACTAAAATAACAGTTACATTAAATTAAGTCATTGATAACAATGATAAAAAAATAATTAAAATTTATTAATGTGTCCATACTAAAGTTTTTTTTTTTGGCTCTACCTCTAGTGAGATTTTATTTTTGTGTGGGATGCATTGTGAATCATTGGATTAAGTTTGATGAATTTAGATAAAATTTAGATTATTTAATTTAAAATGAATTCAATCTGAGTTGTTATTGTATTTTTTCAAATTTAAGATAAAGACGTATGAGAGATAAGAGTGTAGAATCTTACGATAAGAGGTTTCTTCATTGACGGAAAAAGAAATTCAAGACTAACTGTAGAGTGTTAGATCAAAATTTTTGAAATGATTTAAACCGTTTTTTATGTTGGGATTATGTTTTCCGTTTGATGTATTTATGTTTTGTCTCAAAACGATTTGAACCTCTCTTTATCTTTTAGATTCAAACTTCATTCTAATTTATTATATAGATATATGAGATAAAACCGACTTAAAATTTTGATCAAGTTTGAAAAAATTAGAGTTAACAAGTTGATCAAATAGAATCGGATTTATTGATCAAATATTCTATTTCCAACAGAATTGAATATGAACTATGAAAATAGAAAAGATGTAAATCGAATTTGATCAAACTTTAGTAGCGTGATTTGAATTTGGATCAATTCAAATCTGATCGGTCAAAGCATTAAGCATTAATCAACCATTACCTTGGCTTGAATCAATCTCTAGAATGAGATGAAACTGTCTATCACTGGCAACTCCTAATTGTATTAAATTAACAATAAACTATCTGTAAGAAGCTGTTGACAAAATACATTAAAAAGAAAAAAGACAGTAATTCCGGAATGAGCAGCGTTATATGGGAAAGCTAAGATTCTTGGTTGTAGTTGGTGACTCTCCCATCTAATTTAATTGTTTGGGTCCAACTCTCACCATCGACATTTATCACTATAATCATCAACCCAGCCCATTTTACCGGTTAGCATAATACAAGTCGGATATCGGAAAAAAATATCGGTACCATACCAAAATCCATCCATAACAATAGATTTTTGTTTAATAAATCTATAGTCATTGATCGTAAATATAAAAAAATAATATAAACTAATAAAATAAGTAAATTTTAGGATTAATCTCAAGTTGCAAATCGAAAGATCTTCGAATCTCAATTTACACCCTTAAAGATAAAAAATTTTAATTTGTACCATCAAAAATAGAAATTTGTATCAATGCTCATTTCAAACTAACCGTTGTCACTTTGCCGTCTAAAACTAAATGGATAAATTATACTTAAACCCCCTCATACTTATCACTTAAGTACCTAGATCCCTCATATTTGAAATATTATACCTACAACCCTTTAAAGTTCAAATATGACTAAAAATGTCCCGCAATTAGGAATCCAAATAATTATTTTTAAGTGATGTATTGCATTAGATATAAATAACATTATGTAAATACTTACATTATATTGGATATTTAAATGATAAGTTTAATTTTGAATTTTAGAGTATAACGGACCCACAAAATAAAGAGTAATATAAAAATTATATTTTTTTTTATAAGAATGAAATCATATTTTTTAACAGATATCAACGACAAACAGTTTTGTATTACTTGTGCACAAACATCAGAAGGTGTAGGAGTAATATTCTAAATATGAGGGAGTCCAAATGATTAAGTGACAAGTATGAAGGGATTTAAGTATAATTTATCTATTTAATTTTATACGTTAAATTGTCAACTGTTAGTTTTAGGTGTGTATTGATACAACTTTCTATCTTTGAGGATACAAATTAAAATTTTTTATTTTTAAAGATATAAAATAAAATTTTTAATCTTTGATTTTTGAAAATACAAATTAAAATTCAAACGATGTTTCAAAGTAAAATTTGTAATTAAATCTATATTTTATTTGGGTCATATTTTTGTTGAGCAGAAAGTCGAGATATAGCACCAATATATATACATATATATTCAACACCCCCAAAGTCAACCCCAACCCATCAATCTCATACTGACCTGGATTTTCATTTCCTCCTCCCCTTTTCGCGCAGTTATATCTTTGATTATTTCAGAGATACCAATGTCCTCAAAATCAGATCAGGTCAACCTATAATATATAGTTTTCTCTTTTCTCATAAACTCTTCTGGGTGGGTTTGGGGGGGGGGGGGGGGGGGAGAGAGAGATTTTAAAATTCTCATTTTGTATTTTTAAATATTAAATTTTTAGCATTACACTTTTAATATATCAAAAGTACTGTAAATGGACCTTCCATTGACTTTCATTATTTTTTCTATCAAAAACCACCCCATTGTCACTAATGAAAAATTAATGAAAACTAACAAAATGATCACATTACAATCTTTTTAATATATTGAGGGTATAATATGGGAAACTTAATCTATGAGGGTGCAAAATAAAAATCTTAAAATCTTTTTGTTGGTCATTTTACAACAAAAAGAAATTATCACTTTTATAAGTATTTTTATTACTATTATGGTAATACTTTTTTTCAATACAAAAAAATATCACTTTTGTGAGTATTTTTATTATTGTTGTGATAACTATTTTACCATTTTTTTTTTGTTACCACAAAAGTGATAAAAACACTTACAACAATAATAAAAAAAAATCCAAAAAATTAATAATTATCACCTACGACAATAATAAAAAAAAACCAAAAAATTAATAAATATTAGTACTGAATTTTTTTTCCCCCTACCATAGACAACTCCATATTAATATATACCCACACAAACATCACAGATGAACTGTCACAAAAATATTGTAAAGAAGCTTGGGATGAATTAATATGGTCTTCTATCGTCACCATATTAATTGTAGATGTGCTGGCCACAAACCTAGAATTACTGTCCTTCCTTCCTTCCCATCAATTTCTCTCCATTGGTTTTCAGTTACAACTGTGCCAGGAGATTGAGGTTACAGTCAAGAAAGGCACATATTATCCAGAACCCATCTTCCATCACTTTCAAGCTGTTCATGTTCTCCTCTACCTTCTTCAAGCTCTTCATTTTCTTGCACAAAAGGCAAGGGATAGAACGCATCTCTCTCTCTCCTCTCTCTCTCTCTCTCGCTCTCTCTCTCTCCCTCTCTCTTATAATTCTTCGTCAACAGGATTAATTCAATCTTAATCCTCATTTCTGAGTTATGTTCTCTGGTTTTCCTCCACTATGAGAAATATAGCAACTTGCTACAGCCAACATGCCATCAAAATATCTGATTCATACTGTTCTGGACCTTCCAATCAGGCTTATCTTTCCCCAAATTTGACCCCTTCAATCCAAAATGCAGTCACATGTATCTACAGAGCCAAACATTCCACTCACAAACAGTTTCTCATCAGAATCATCTGGTCCAACCTTACACATCAAGGCTTCTCCATAAGTATCAGTGATGACCCATCTTCCCCTTCAAAATTCAGTAAAAATTCTCACCAATTACGGAAGATTAAAGGCACAAAAGCATTTGAATTTCGCAATTCAAAGATTGAAGTCTTCTGGGATCTCTCAAAAGCTACCTACGATGCTGGACCTGAGCCAATCAATGGGTTTTACATCATGGTTTTGGTCAACTCAGGGTTAAGTCTCCTTCTTGGAGACATGGAAGAAGAACCTGTCATGAAGAAACTAATATCCAATCCACCCTTAGCCAAATTTTCTTTAGTTTCTCGCAGTGAACAGTTTTTGGGTAATTCTCTGTATTCAACCAAGGCTCAGTTCTGTGAAAATGGAATATGTCATGACATTTTGATCAAGTGCATCGGTGACGAAAGGGGGTCGAAGAACTCGGGATTATCGGTATGTATTGACGAGAAGAATGTGATTCAAGTAAAGAGATTAAGGTGGAATTTTCGGGGGAATCAGACCATCTTTGTAGATGGGTTGGTGGTGGATATGATGTGGGATGTTCATGACTGGTTCTTCAATCCAGCTTCTGGTTGTGCTGTTTTCATGTTTAGGACAAGGAGTGGGTTGGATAGCAGGTTGTGGTTGGAAGAGAAGATTTTGGAGCAGAAAGAAGAAGACAAGGTTGGATTTTCTCTGTTAATCTGTGCCTGTAAGAATCCTGATTAATTCATTATTTTGTATTTATTTTTCTTCTTTTTTTCGGTTTTGTTTTTATTTTCTCAACTCCAAATTCCACCCTTTTTATGTGGAGGATTATAGATGGTTTAGTATTACCATATCATCATATAGAAATTAATGTGCTAGACTTGGGGAGTGGAGAAATTATTTGACGTAGAGATTGGAATTGTACATGAAGCTTCTGGATAGAGGATCAAACTGGAAGTTGTAGATGTGTTGTGGGTTTTATTTATTCATTTGAACACTATGGTAGGGATGTGTTAGGAGTCTTAATTTTTCATGTTTGAATTCTTATGATGTATTGATTTTTACAAAGATTGTATGATTAATTTAAAGTTAGTTTGTTTCTTCTCTTTCTTCTTCATTCTTTTCTCCAACCCATAGCAACTTATATCACTTATTGATTTACATCGCTTCTTCAGTGCAATAACTCTACCTTTTTCGGGTAAATAATCTTCTAATTCTTCCCTCTTTTATTCTTCGTGTTCTTCTTTGGGAGAGCTGTGTATGTACAAAGAGAAGTGTGTTTTCTTATGTTTGTTTTGGTTTTGCTACGAAAACAAAAATGATTGATGAATTAAAATTTCAAACTCTCTAATCAACAGGGGACAAAAATCCACCTTTTTGCAATCAGCATTTCTCACCTAAAAGTTATCTGTTTCTCTTGATATGTTGTGATGATGCTTAGTTATCTGTTTCTCTTGATTGCGATGATGTCTAGTAGGTTTAGAACAAGTTTTATCTCTTTCAATTTGGTAGGGACTTTGGCCAAACTCATGCTTGTACATATTAATCAGGCACAATTGATGGGCATGTGAAACAGATTTGTACTTAACTTGAAAGGGTGTACTTTTGTTGCTTGAGCCCTTCACTCTATGTTGTCTAACCAAGGAGAATTATTCTAATTTTGTACAGAAAGCAATCCCAAACCCTTCATATACCTCAGATGACAGGGTTTTAATGGTCAATCATCATCACTCGTAGGTCTCAAATTTGAGTCTCGCAATAAGCGCATTAATTTGCCCGAGAAGCTTTAGTTTGTTAATGGTCACGTGCATTTTAAATTTATATAACTGAAATGAGCCCGTTAAAAAAAATATGCTAAAAGTGTTCTTTGTGTTGGTGATTGTTTGATTCAAGATGCCAAAAAACAAGGGTTAATTCGTATTTACATTAATTACACAATTTTTTTTCTTTTTTATTCTGTTGATTGACCGAGTTTTGAAACGTAAATACATTTAATTTCAAAAAATAATAAGTAATTTGTGAATGAACGTCTATAATTGGAGGTCTCCATATTCATTTGAAAATGTCAAAAAATAACGCATACCTAACCTATTTAAACAGGGTAAGACCCAAAAATAGGAGGAAATAGGTGAAGACAAATCATTTTCTTAGAAGGATAATCACAAGAAGATGAGTCATCCTCTTGTAAGTTATCAAAGTATGAAACAGATGCATATTACTATCTTTTCTCTCAATGTCATACATCATCCTCCATTCATTTCTAGCCCTTAAGTCATGTCGTTTTCTTAGTTTCCTTCAAGCCAGATTACTTTGAATCATCCACGGCCAGACATAGTTTGGTCCTCCACCTTACCCATTGCAACTTTGAGTTTCACTCCCAAAGAGCAACCATCAAACCATTTTAAAGGTAGCTCCTTGTGGATGGGGCTCTTGAAATATCCAAATAATAGCTCGAGCCAGGTTAGGACTCAACTCGATTTTTAATTGTTCAAATTACAAAGTTAACTTGGTTAGATTTTTAAGTTTGTTATGTAAATAAGTCAAATCCAGGCAATAAATAAATTCCTTCGACTCGAATCGTTTCTTATCTACTAATAAATGTAATTTATTGTAAACAACCCCTATTTGAAAGAGGAACAATTTTAAATTTATCTCCCAAAATAACTTCAGATCATAGTATACTTCTTCTCTCTCTCTCTCTAATATACTTTTAAGAAATTTGAGTTTCTAAGGTTTGATTTTATCATATGAAGGGTTTTTTGGTAAGAAATCAATTATCTTATAAGTGCTTATTGAGTTTTAGGGTTTAATTTTTAATTTTTTTTTGATAAATTAAATTTCGTATTGATTGAATTGTTCATATGTTTCTACCTAATCAAGCTATCTAAGCTCAACAATCGAACTCACAATCAAACTCAATCAGTGATGGCAGAGTCAAATCTAGATATACTCATGATCTCAGTCGCGAATCTCATTTGATTTGCCATTTTTTCACCCTTAATCTCATTTTAACCCCCACAATATGAGCACCACTGCTTATAGGTTTGTCAATTATATCAGTTGAAACAAGTTTGCGTTGAATTTTAATGAGTTCGTGTCTAAAAATATTTTTTTTATACTTAATTTGTTTATTAATTTATATTTAATGAGTCATGTCATGTCAGATTGTATTGTGTATAACCGATATTAAACGAGTCATGTCATATCGAGTTATATCGTGTATCAATTGTGTAAAACTGATATTAAACAAGTTGTATCGTGTATTTCTTTTGATTGACTTTACTCATACACAATTCGTTTATTAATCGTGTTGTGTCATATCGTGTCCACTCGTTTATAAAATAGATGACTTAAAAAAAATTCAAATCTTCTAATTTTGTATCGTGTCCAGAATCATCGGTTAATATCTTGTTAAGGATTGTTTTTTTTTTTTTGTTTTTTTTTTTTTTGGGATCCTTACCTACCATGGGATTGTGATGCTGTATCGTTCATTAATTAAAATAAAGTGGAACCATGACTTCACCATAAAAAGTCAATGGAGCAAACATAAATAAAGAAATCATCTCAACCTCTGGTTTAGTTGGTTTTTGATGGAAAGGAATAATTTTTTTTTTTTTGTTTATTTGGAGGACGGTACACTTAATTAGTCTTATTATTGTTTAAATCCATCAAGGAAACTCTTTTGGAAAGAAATCCATTAGTTAAAAAAAAAAAGCTACACTACTCTTTAAAACAATGGTCCAATTGTCTAACGGGATTAGGAAACCCATAATCTCATCCCCTTTATTCTAGGCAAAATAAATATTCTCATTAACCCACTCCCTTATTTAACGTTAATCCATAACTATTGGGTACGTGTGTGTGTGTGTATATACATAAAAACACTAAAATTTAGGAGTTTTATAGAGAAATAATTTAATATGGAAAATATCTAAAATTAAAGAATTTAAAATTTGTTTAAGTTTTAAATTTGATTACGTTTCATATTTGAGGGAGAAAGAATTCTAATATAAAAAATTTTTAAAATTTAGGTATTTTAGTTATCCATTCTAAAAAATGTTCACTTTTATGGTTACATCTTCAATAATTACTTTGTCCACACAAGTTGTAGTCACACATCCTATATACTAGTTGGTGCACACGTGTGTTGCACATGAACCATTTTGAATTGTATTTTTTATTTCTGTTGTTTATTTTTGTGCGATATTGATAATATGATTTATTTTTATTGTATGTAGTGATGTTAGATATCAAAAATACTTTTATGTTATTCAGTATGTCCAAGACGAACCAAGCTCAACAAAATATTTAGAGATGTAGAAGATATTGTTTTGGCTAACCTTTATTTTGTAACTACCAACTTTTTGAGAAAATAAAGTTGCAACAACTAAAATTGAAGTATGCAAGAAATCTCATCCACTCTATTTGTGCAATAACCTTCTCTGTCTTTATTGGCCTTTGCCCTTTTGTGCAATAACCTTCTCTGTCTTTATTGGCCTTTGCCCTATTGATGCGTTCAGACTCTTGGCATTTTGTGTAACATCTCCTTTATTGCAGTGCAGCAGAATTTGTTCAAAAAACTTTGCAACCAATGAAATTCCACAATGCATTCTTTCTAACTAATTGTAAAGCATCAACTTTGCACAATAAATAAACAAAACAATAGAAAAGAATAAAGAAAAATAACACACTATTAGCATCTAATCAGAACCCTCAAACAAAATAGGTTTTTTGTATATATATAACTCCTCTTTCTTCTATTCCCTACAATTTTCACCTCACCAAACAGAACAAGAATAAAATTTATGGAGAGAGAGAGTAAAAAGATATAACAAAGATTTGGGATTTACTCTACTCACTTCCTCTATTTATAGGCAACAAAACAAGAAAAGTTGCACTAACTGGGGTAATTAAGTGGGTATAGAAAAAAGTCTATCTCTTTAGCTTCTCTAAGTGGGGTTAGGGAAACTAAAAGGTAGAGAAAATGTTAACAGATAATATTAAATTCTTTTTATGCAATTGTGTAAAGGGAGTTTGGAGATTTAAAAGTTTTTCATAAATCATAAGAGGAAAAAGTCTCAAATGTTCATTCTTTTAAACAAATGTTTTGCAAAGCTTTCATTGAAACCCTTTTGAAGCAGAAAAAAATAAGAACAAAATAAATTACAATAGATAGTTTTTTTTTTTTTTGAATCGAAACGATAGAAATTTTATTAAGAAACTAAATCTGACAAAAGAGATGGTATCAGAAAATATGTGTCATCTATTCCCAAACATCAATATTTTCAACTACTCTGGCCTTTCAAGCCAGTTGATGAGCCACACGAATTCCTGATCGTCCAACAGTAGACAAAGAATAAAAAATAAACAAACGAAGAAACCGTTGTACATTTGCAATAATAGCGCCAATAGGAGAAAAATCTTCAGAATTATCACCAATCCTCTTCATTATTGTAAGAGCATCCCCTTCCAAAACAATTTCATCACACCCCATTTGCCTAGCAAAAAGCACAGCTTCCCTCACAGCCATAGTCTCTACAGTTTGTGCTTCTGTTTTGCCAATTAACTTCTTAGACATCCCAATAATGAACGACTCAGCTTCATCTCAAATCACCACCCCTACCCCAATAGCACCCTCTTCATCAAACACTGCTCCATCAAAGTTAATCTTAAAAGATCCAGATCTAGGAGGAACCCAACGTTCTGGTGCACTTTCCTGGACAACATTCTGACCAGAATCCAAGGACTGCTCATACTGCAAAATAAACTCCATTGCCATATGACAATACACCACAGG